ACAGTCCTGCCACGGCTCCCACAAGGACCAGCCCTGGCTCCCATAGCCCTGCCATGGCTCCCATAGCTCTGCCATGCTCCCACACAGCCCTGCCATTGCTCCTACACAGCCCGGTCCTGCTTTGGAGCCCGGCAGCAGCACCCACACATCTCCATGACCGGCCTCCTCCACCCACCCATCTCCCTCCGCTCCCAGCAGCCGTCTGTGTCTCCACCAGCCCTTGTGGCCATTCCTTAGCAGCCCGGCCTGGGTGTGAAAACTGCCATAATGGGAGATTTTCACAGCCAGACTGCAGCACAATGAGCTAGCCCTGTCCTCTGTGGGACAGCAGATCTATGGCCAGCAGCTGCCACCTGATCCAGTCCATGCTGCCCGGAGTGACCTCCACCCCAAGCCCAGGTGAGCTGCCACCACCCCAGCGAAACCAGACTCCCAACCCAGGCAGCTCCAGGGAGGCCAAGGGATGGCAGCAGGCTTCGTGCACTGGACTTCTCAACCCTGCAAGCCCTTTCCCAATTTGGACTTGGGTTTGAGAGAATCTGGGAGCATTTAACCTGAGCTCTCCAAAGCCTGCATGCTCCCAGCTCCTCTTCAGACCTGACTGGGGTAGACACTGCCAGAGGAACTGAAAGCTGCCCGTTCTGGGCTCAGCAGCACAGAGGGTCTTGGTTCTGCCCTTGCGCTGGCTGGCAGGGCAGTATCTGCCTTCTCCAGTGGGACTGGCAGTTCTCCTGGGGCCCAGGAAGCTACCCCACTCCATGGCTCTGCAGGGAAGCATCCCTTTTCCAAGGGGGTTATTATGCTGGAGGGCCATCAGACTGGGACTGCTGGAGCAGGAGTGGGATGGGAGGGAGTGCCGACTGCTTCCCCATCTGCTGTGCTCAACAGCAGATAAAACACTGCCCTGGCCCTCGCGCGAGGGGCTGATACCAGCCAAATTCAGCTTCCTGTGAGTCAAAAGCCGCTTCCTGCCAGCAGAGCCCTGTCTGATAATGGCTGTGTTCTGCTCTCTGCCCGGGAGCAGACCCCATGCCCTCGCCTCTCCTTGCACTTCCCACATGAAAGCGTTCCCTTATGTATCTCCCAACCACAGCATCTCCCCGCCCCAGTACAGAGTTGCACGTTAAACTCTAATTTCCTGCTGCTGGCTGGAAGGGCCACTGTCACACTCATCCCTGGGACAGCCGAGCTGAATGTTTGGGGCCAGCCGTATCGAGCTGTCCCTCAAGGTCACCTCCCTTGTACACACAGACAGGCCACGTTGCTAGCTCTGCCTGTGCTCCAGCTGCTGCTGGCTGTGGGACACAGCCACTGTCCCCAGCCACGTCAGGATCAGAGTTCATCTGTCCCACGGTGCAGTCACCCTATGGCATGACCGTGGGTTCCCCAGCCTACACCAGCAGCAGTACCATTCCTGTGGCACTCACCCATCCCTCACCCTTTCTTCAAGCCCTGGGTGGTTCCTTCTGCTGCACAAAGGAGGATCCCTTTTTTGA